CAGACACAGGGCTACACTCAAGTCAAGCATGAGCAGGTGGCTTCAGAAGCCAAACACCGACAGGAGCACGGAGGGGACATTGTGTGGACGAGTACCTGCTGCTGCTCTAGTGAATGGATCCCAGGTCAGGGGTGAGGACTGAGGTCTCTGTGACCAGCAGTCAGTGGGAATGTCAGCAGATGTCATTGTGTCAACTGTATCGAAGGACGTTTCCTCACTGAGAGGGTGACATCTTAGCATAATTGTGCTTTTGTTATGGCCAAGACAGGGCTGATTGACCATCACGGCTCAGGCCACCTGGCCCTTTGTCACTAGGCTTTCTGGGCCCTTCTCTCCTTTGCCCTGTAAGTCTGCTCTGCTGATGCCTGGCAAGGCTGGGTCATGAAGCCAGGCAGAGCTGGCTGTGAACTGCAGCTGTCTCACCCCTTCCCTCCTCAGCAAGTGCAGCCATGTGGCCACTGTGCAGGCCCCTTTCCCTGAATGCTGGGGAGCAGGGCGAGGGACTGCCGGGCACCATGTGTCCTGAGGAAGTTCACTTGTTTGCTCACTGCAACTGTCAGGCCTCCATGTCTAAGCAATTGCCGATTCCTGTGTGAATGACATCCCCGCCTGCCGCCTCTTGCTTGCCCCTTGCCATAAAATCTTCCCACAAATGGTGCGCTGGAAAGACCCAACCACGCATATGCTTTGAGGAAGCCCCATAGTTCCTGAGGAGGACAGAGGCAGGCTGGCTCAGGGCCTCCTGGTCTGATGGTTCTTGGGACCCATCTCCTCCCAGCCCTGTTGAGGACACTGCCACTGCAAGTCTAGTGTTTGGGGCAGAGGAGGCTAATGGGGCCGGAGCCCATTCCCATGCTTGGCTCCTTGCTGCTCTCCGGATTTCCCCAGTGGTGAAATGGGCATGATGACTTCTTCCTAGTGTGACCTGAGAGACCAACATAGAGGCCCCTTTATTAACTAAAATGGACCCAAAGGCTAAGGAAATTAAGCACTACTAGATGAAGGTTTAGAGCCTGGCTGGCCTGGCAAATTTCTAAACTCCTAAATCCAACCTCCCTAGTAATAGGAGTGACCAACTCTGATTTGTGGCCCAGATCACCATGGCTCTGGACAGAGGACAGGCTCAAGAGACACTGTCTGCTGACAAGCTACTGCAGGCCTCCATCCAATTCAGGCTCATCTATAAGCCACACACAAACTGTGTCCTCCAGCTCACCTTTGGACACGAACAGCCAATTCCACCTCATTTCAATGCTAACCACTGCCCCAGAGTGACATGGATGAATTCCTACATGCGTTTACTCAGCGAACACACACTTGGCTGCCCTCACAAATGTGGACTGCTCCCTCAAACTTGGGGAGTCTGGCTCTACTGTATAACCCTGATGCTGTGAGGCATAAACCCCACGTCCCTCCCCTGTTCAAAGAGAAAGCACCTTTAACACATGCAGCAAAGACTCTCTTCCCAATTTGCAAACCAATATAGATCATAAAGCTCTCCTTTCTACTGTTCATCCATTCCGTGGGCTTTGGACAACAGTTTGTGAAGATCAGTTACTCAGAGGGCGGGCTGCCTGTTCCAGGGCCTGGTAGGTCACACCCAGTGTGCTCCCCTCAAGCCTTTCTCCTGACTCCTGGATGTCCACCCTGAAGATGCCGCACCATCCACACAGGGCTCCTCCCCATCTTGCTTCCTGCCCCTGCAGCAGACCTGGGAAGGCAGAGAAGGAGCTCATGGGGGCAGTGAGGAGAGTGCACTCCACACTCCTACCCTGGAGTCCAGGCCAGGCCAGCAGACCCCAAGAGGTTGATTTCACAAAGACTATGCCATGGCAACTCTGCCTTTGTCCCATGGCACTTTTAGAAAGTCCTTATGTTCCTTTACTCTGGTTCCTCACTCACCAGGCAATCTCTGCCTACTTTACTGCTATGTGACTTCAATAGGGAGAGAAGCTTGTCAGCAAAATCCCAGGCCCCTCAGCTCAAATGTCACAGGATTACTATGTGAGTTTTCTAAGGACAAGTGGCTTTCCTGCAGACAGCCTCACCCACCTGCCAGGGACCCCGCTGTCACTGCTCAATGTAAATGCAAATCGTGCTGATTGGGAGTGTTTAGGGGTCAGGAAAGGCCTGTCCTCAGAAGCAATCTGTCCCCATTTTACCCTCAGAGTTCTAGGGAGGGCCCTGGGCAGCGTCCTGGGCACCCCTACATGCACCCCTCCTTTCCTCGGTGTCACGCACCTTTTCTGTTTGACCCTGCATCAGGGAGAAGACAAAATGCTGATGCTCAGAGATGGTGGCACTCACACACCTCAGTGACCTGCAGTGCTCAGAATTCAGGGGCTCCAGAAACTTAGATGGGAAAATTGACATCCTTGTTTTCACAAACCTCTGACTGAAATGTAGTGTTCCTTTCTGTTTCCAATGTAGCAAACTAGGAACAAACTTAATTAAAAAATCACAGATTTTTTAACACATTATTGCAGATTTTTCAAAATATTGGTTAAGCTCATTAGTACTTCACAGCAGCACTGAGGTAGGAGTCCTTGTTATCTAACACATTAGGGAACACATTGCAAAATTATTTTGGAAATTTTATCTTAGCATAATTAGTCTTCTGTGTAAGCCCAAGAGGCCCCGTGTTGTCAGCATATGCCAAAATGGGTCCACAGCATAGGCATAATGAGGTGAAGGGGCTTGAAGTTTCCGTGGCCACCTCCCACTTTACACAGAAATCCTGTAATCATGCTGCTGCCCATGTCCATCCAGCTGCTGCCAAAATCCCTTCAGCAATGGGAAGTGTGGTGGCTGCCATGGTTGCTGCATGCACAGCTGTCCCATGCCTTAGTCCTTGCCAGCAGAGCCTACTCCCGTGACATAGGAGGTGACTGCTTCCCAGCTTCCCAAGCACTGGCCTGGGCAATGGGACCGGGGCAGTCTGAGAGTAGGGTGGCCAGAGGGACAGGTGTATCCTCCCCAAGTGACAAAGCCCAGGTGCATGGAAGGGAGCTTCACTTCACTGATTGTCCCTTGCACTGCAGGCGTGTGACACAGTTTGTTCACAGAAACATCAGGCCCCAGGACTGACCCGGATTCCCATCACCCTTGGATTTCTTGTTCCATGGGACAACAAACACCTCTTTTAACTTAACCTCTGTTTAGATAGGATTTCTGATATTTGTAAGTGAAAGCCCTTCAATAGAGAATCCTGCTAACTCCACAGCAATCAGGACAGCTTCTTTCTGGGGAGTTCTTCACAAGGCTCAATCAGCCACTTCAAATTCTCACATCTCAGGCCCCCTGATGGTAGATCCATCCTCCAGAGGATGTCCAGGAGGCCAGGGCCTTTCGGAGGGAGGCTCAGTTTCCTTACTTCTTTGGAACTCTAGGGAGACAGTCTTTTGGAGACACCATGTGTTAGTTACAGGCACATATAATACATAAAATCAAAATAATAATTTACTGCACTGTCAGTAAATTCCTGGGAAGTATGAAAGGGCTTCTAGGTGGATTTTCTTTTCTGTTTTTTAGGCAAGTCAGAGGACAGATGAGAATGTGAGACTTCATTATTCTGCCTCAGTATTTTTTAAAATATAGTCATGCTGCAGAATCAAACAGCTGGGATGGGTTATTTTATTCTGGAAAGTGTTGAAATCAGACCATCTCTGCTCCTCCCCACACCTCCTCTGCCCATCCTCCTCTGCCCAGTCTTTTCCTCCTCTCGGGTGTCCCCTCTAGGAGGGGCTCCTCGCTGCGTCACCTCTCTGCCACTCTGCCTCCCTCCCGGGAATGCTCCCCTTTCTGTGTCTGAACCCCACAGAACCTTCGGGGTGTGGCTGAGAGGCACTCCCTTCTGTGGCTTTGCTGACGGTGAGAGCGCCTGGCCTGTCCTCCTTGTGGGCAGGGAACACATTTCTTCTGTCACTGGGATCATCATTGCAGTAAGGAGAGTTTCCCAACAAACAATTACTGAATGAAATAAGCCCCTCCCTGCTGCCAAAGTAGAAACCACATACAGACCCCTGACAGGTGCTGGCAGATTCTACAAGGTTATGTTAAGAGCTTTTGTAGTTTCTCAGGGGGCAGCAGAGCCTAACTTCCGCCTCAGATAGTGGAGAGAGAGCATGGCATTCATGTGTCTCCAGAAGATTCCAAACACTCCTCTGGGCCAGTCCTTTCAGCACCTCCCCACTTCAATCTCAATCAAAATTGCTAAGTAACTTGTCAATGTTCTGTATCCTTGACAAACTTGTGGGATTGTTCAAATGCAGGTACTTCAAAAGATTATTTGAAGAAACTCAGCTAGTCTCAGATGGATCCAGAGAGCCCCTGATAACCGATAATCAAGTATATAGATTTTAAATACTTTTTTTTTTTGAGACAAGAATCTCATTTTGTCACGCTCAGTAGGCTGAAGTGACATCATAGCTCACAGTAAACTCAAACTTTTGGGCTCACACTATTCTCTTGCCTCAGTCTTCCCAGTAGCTGGGACTATAGGCAGTTTGAGACCACAACGCCTGGCTGTTTTTAGAGATGGGGTCTTGCTCAGGCTCAGGCTGGTCTCAAATTCCTGAGCTCAGGTAATCTACCTGCCTTGGCCTCCCAGAATGCTTGGATTACAGGTATGAGCCACCATGCTTGGTCTTGATTGTAAATACTTTAAATAAATATTTGGCTCCCTGGAGCAGTGTGACCTTGTAGGCTGGCCCATGGCGCCGAGCAGATTCACTACTTCAGTCACCATCTTCCTTGAAGCTGTGAAGTGCGAATATATTTAGGGGCCTGGCTGGATTCCCAGCAATCATATAAATACTCCATAGATCATAGCAATTATTACAAATAAGAACAACCAATAAAAAGGCATAACAGTACGTGAATGCATTTTAAAAACTTGGTAAGAAATGGAAACTGAGCAGGAGGCCAAAAGGTGAACCGCAGTCCAGGACGGGGATGGCTCCCACCCACCCAAGGAAGACGACGGTTGCTGCCACACAGCATTATCTATAAAGTATCTTCTCTTTATTTAAGTTAAACAATTTTCAAGGATGGTTTCCATCTATAAAATGGACAAAGTACAAGCTCTGTACAGCAGTTCTTTTTAAAAATCAACTGGAAAAAAAAATTACCAAACTATATTTTGAGTTTGCAAAACATACTCACAGATACCATCATTTCAGCTTTTATGAGACGTGAGAAAGACCACCACAGAGAAGACAGCTGACTTTGTCACGCTTTGCTCAAAGGGCTCTTAGGAAAGAATTTTTAGTTTTAAAAACAGGAGTGGGAAGGTGGGACAGTCCCAATGACTAAAAAATAATGCAACCACAGTAAGTCACTTTGGCACACTGTGTCATGTAAACATAGCTCACCGCAAAAGACCCCTCCCCAGCCCACCCTTGCTTCTGGCCCACACCACCCGAAGCTGTCCTGTGTGGCGTGGCCAGCACAAGGGGTTGGGTAGATGTGTCCTGATGGTGCAAAGGCTAATAAGACTCTGGGGGTTGGGAGGGTGGAGGTGCGTGGGCAAAGGATTGATCAAAAAACCTGATTAAAAAACAAGCCAAATTTGTTTTACATCAATGGTATTTTTCCTCTAACAGCAGTAGCTCACAGGCGATGGGGTCTGACAACAGAACCCAGGTGCTTGGAGCTACACACAAGGACAGGTACTCTGCCCTGCGCTCAGCACTCCTGCACTAAGAGTGACTTTCCCTCTCCTCTCCCCAGAGCCTGCTCTGGCAGACAGAAGCACACAGAGTTAATCCAGCTGAGGGCTGCACTGTCTGCCAAAACACATCTGGTTGCTTAGCAAGAGGCAAAAAAGGAGAAGACACAGAACTGTCCCCAGCCAGGCTTCCACCGCGGGTACCTCTGTACCACGGTGCACACATGGGGGGTTCTTGGGTGAACAAACACCAGCAACTGTCCTTTTCCTACAAGAAACAGGTAGGAAAGAGGCCGGTGCTAGCAGAAACCTCCTGAAGCCACTTCTGAGTCTATGACCTCCAAGGTCCCTGCAAAGGGGCCTAAAGATGTCAGGCTGGGTCAGCCTAGGATTGAGCATCTGTGTGTGTGGGTGAGGGGGCACAAGGACGCAACATAGTGACCTTGGGAATGACCGAGTAGCCATTCAGTGGGGCTGTGGCTGGTCTGCCCTTGGCTGTGGGGACACGGCAAAGCCACAGGGGCTCTGGAAGAACATTTCTGAGCACACAGCAAATACCCAGCATCTCTTCCCATCATGACTTTAGTTCACAGCTGTCTGTAGCTTATATGGGACCACTGGGATCCTACTGCCCCGAATCCTCAGTATCTATGAGCAGGCAGGCCTTTGACTTTGCTTGTTCCTTGCCCTCCACAAGCAGGCCTCTGACCTTGCCTATTCTTTTCCCAAAGTCCCCTAGAGACTTGCCTTCACCAGCAGGGGCATGGGAGAGAGCAAGGGTGGGTCAGGCACGGCTCGCTGCCTGGCTGGAGCGCACTAGGACAGCAGTGACGCTGGGCCGACCTGACTGCCGTCCTCCCAGTGCTCACCTCATCCCGAGGCCCATGGAGGGCTTGCACCATGACTCGCCCTGTGCCTGTGTGTGGCAGCATCGTGGGTCTGTCCTGTTACACAGCAGCAGAGGTCCTGCCAGCTTACTCTGGGAGCTGTGGGGTTGCTTTTACATTCCTTAGAGAAAAGAAATTTAATGTAAAAAAAGACCCAAAGCAATTATTTGTCAAAATAAGTAAACCACCCAGCTCTACAGATGCCAGGAGTACAGACTGGATACCAATAGCAGTGACCCCCACACTGATGCCCTACAGAGATGTCCACAGGCAAGGCTGGGGGTCCAGGAAAACCTCTCAGCCAGTTCCAGCAGCCCTGCCTGGCCAGTGAGGCTCTGGGAACAGAGGAAGCCACTTCCCCCTCCCACTGGGCTCTGGCCCCTCCTGCTACAAGGCTGTGAGCAGCAGTGTGGGGAATTTACACTATGATGGGGACCTACAGAAACCTCAGGGAACTGACCGTACATTCTTCCTTGGTAGAGATTTGTATTTAGTGTCCCACCACAGAAAAGTCCATATTCAAATATAGCAGGTACCTTAGGTGGGGAGGGGAGAGTTTGGACAGGAAGGAGGGGGGTGAGGATAGAGAAAGGAGCAACCAACATAAACCTGCAAAATGATAAAATTCGGCTTTGTGGAAACCACTTGTGACTTTTCTTTGAAATGGAGATTTCAAAAGAGTTCTTCTCGCTGGGACAGGGCACGCGTGTCCCTCTCCCTCCCTGTCCTCCAACGAGCATGCTGCCTTCTGTGGCATCTCCGCTGGCCGCCCTGGGTCATGGACATGGCTGGTGCTGCTCAGCTGTGGAGCAAGGAGGAAGTGGCAGCTGGGAGAAGGAGGGTGGCTGCAGCCTCTAGGAAGGGACCTGGCTGCATCCCAGGACAGGTGAGTGACTTTCTGCACTCACCACGGCCGTGTCTGCATGGCCCCCTTGTGCCTTGCTCAAGTTCTCCAACTTTCAGACCATGATGGAATACTGAGGTATATAGTTTCGCGGAAAGTTTAAGAAACATAATCAATAACGTGATTGCTGAACTCCACCCAGTGGTGCAGGGGGCAGGACGGTGGGGCCCTTCAGCTGCCTACTGCTGCAGGTTGAGGGAGAACTTCCACTGCTGGGAGAGGGCTGGACCACACACCTCCACACTCAGGCCGCCACTCTTGGCTGTACGGCTGTCCAGACACAGGTTACTGCCCACGTGCCGCAGCTTGGAGTTACCCTCGATCTGTTCCCATTTCTGCAAAGACAGGAGAATGCCTTAGAGAGTGAGCACAAACAAAGAGGTCAAACCAGAGATGTGTTCAGGGGCTTCTGCCTACATTACAAACAGTCAAATATTACTTTTTTTCTTTTTGGCTTCTCATCATAAAGTATGGGAGTTTGAAACAGCCCCATGACAAATGAGCTGGAAGGGCCCAGGAAAGAAGTGTGTTTTCTGTCTTGGTTCATAATTCAAAGCCTTCCCCCTCCTTTCTTTGGGAGTCTTCTCTTCCAAGCCCCAGCGCTCTGGGCATCCCCCCCATAGTCACTAACACAGGACTGCATGTTGGGGAACTGACATGCATCCCCAAGTGGGCCTGATCCGGTCATGTTGGTCATGTTCTGGCCCCAGAAAGGTGCCACAGGACATGGAGCTGTCTCTAAGGGCCCTCTGCCCTTCCTTCCCCAGCCGCTGGAAGGCAGCCCCCTGGAGGTCTTGGTTCAGACCCCTCCATGTTTCCATTTAGGCCAAATGATAAGGAGAGAGGTGGCCTGTGAGAACACAGCATCATGTTGGGAAACTTATTTCTATATCGTCTGTTGTCTACGAGCATGTGAGCGCCTGGGTGGGCGTGAGGAACTTGTCTCTGTCACCCAAGCCCTTCATTGTGGACATACCCCTTGTAAGTAAAGTACAGGGGGCACCCAACCAGCACACACTGATAACAAGTCCACAAACTCCACAAACCCAGCTACCCACCAGCCAAGCCAGAGGGAAATCTGAGGGGCTTTGCCCTATTATTTAACAAGTATCATAAATTTCCCCATCTAAAAAATCTCTAATGTTTGTTCTTAAGGGGGAAAAAAGGTAGGACTGCTTTTCTTCCAAAGCTCTTCCCTAAATAACATTGTCTGTGGTTCTAATTAATTTTTCACACTGAGTGCACTAAAGCTCCTTCACGGAAGTATTTCAGTGAGTTCTTCTGATGCTGTGGAGTTAAAATTTCTCATTCTAGCTGCCCTTTCCCCCTTGGCTCTGCAAACACACACCTGGAAACCAAATCCCCAAACTGGGTGTCGACGCCCAACCTTGCCTGCTCTGCAGGTGCAGTCACCCTCACCATCTCCTGCCCATGACAGGTGCATAGTGACCCTCTGGCAGCTGCCTCATATGGGGGGGGGGCTGCCCTAGCTGCTCCCGCTCTGTAGTCGATTGGGCTCTGACTGCCCCCACTGGTGCACTGGGGGTCAGGCGAAGGCCCCCAGGGTGAGGTGCCAGAAGGAAGCAGGCATGGAGTCCTGAAGAGAAGGCTGCACCCTGCAGCCTGGGGGTAGCATTGGTGGCTCTGCGGGGACAGAACTAGGCCTAGGCTGCACACGGGAGGTTGAGTCTCAGGGCTGCCTGCCAGGCCAGCAGAAAGCGTCAGACCAGATTGGTGCCCCTTAAGCCCAGGGCAGGGAGCCTCAGCCAGGGTACACTGGGGAAGATGGTGACCCCCTTAGTGCTTCTGTCAGGCTCTGCTTGTCACACCTAAGGTATTTTCAGTTCAGAAGGGAATTCAGCCTTCTAAGACCCTCGGAGTGCTCTCAAAATGCCATCTCGGCATCTGACTCGGGATGGACGTCCTCTTGGTGAAATTCTTCCCTCTCCTTCTACTCTAGCCTCTCACCTACTTGGCTCCCAGCATCCCCCCCAGGCTCCACTTGCTCTGAAACCACTGACACCTTCGCCCCAACATACATCACACTGGGCTAGTGGGCAGCACCTGGTGAGCTCTCTTTTCCGTGGCTTTCTGTGCCCAATTCTCCAAGCTGCCACGTCTGAGTGACCCACTACCCATGGACTCACGCCGAGCACTTCCTTCAGCAGGCATCTGGGGAGGACTGGGGGGCGCATTCTCTCTTTTGAGAACCAGGAACCTGTGGGCTCAGGCTGTGTGGCCCAGGTGTATGAAGCATATGCCAATACTGCCTTCCTGGAGAGTAATAGCATCCCTTAGTCTTGGTGTGACCCGTCTGCAGCCTTCCTCAGAAGCTGGGGCAGTCAGGGGGCTGACAGAGCATTCTGGGCACCCCGAGTTGGGGTGGAAACCTCCAGAGAATCTTGCTGACCAGTCATTTCTAAAAAAATTGCTCCTCCCCAAAGCTGACTCGACTGGATCCAATGCAGGGTTGTCTCAGGCTGTGGTCCATGGCCACTGCCCCAAGCCAGATCACCCCATCCCTGTGGCAGTGAACATGCTGCACCCCGGCCTGCTCTCTCAGGGATGCACAGACCTGCTGCTGAAGATTGGCAGCCAAGTCCTGGACTTGTGCTAGAAATCAAGTGGCTTAGCTTGCCTGTGATTATGGAGGAATTTGAGAAGCTCATGGTCCAACAGGTTGATCTGCATTTCTATGAAGCTCAAATTGAGAACACTTCCAGCTCAATTTCCAGAATGTAAAAGTGGTCAAATTCCCCACCCCTCTGTGGCCTTTGTCACCTGGATGTCTTTGTGGAAATGTATGATGAGAGCGTGCCTGTGTCCAGTTACCCATAGGCAGGAGTTCCTGTGGTCTTGAAGAAGATTGTGCAGCTGGGGATGAGCTTGCTTCTGAAGATGGTATTTGCGGATAACTTTGTGCATGCCGACATTCAGACCAGGAGCATCCTGGTTCAAGGTGCTGACAGTCTGTCCGCAAGCCAGGAAGTGTAGCTGCAGTTTGTGGATGTCTGTGACACGCTGGTGGTGGATGCCAGCATTGTGGCGGAGCTGCAGGCCACTGACCTGAGGAATTGCTGCGCGGATTTTGTGCATGTGGTGATGGGGCAGGGCCAAAGGGTGGCTGAGCTCATCCTGCATCATGCTCCGGCCAATGAGTGCAGGGACGTAGAGGGGTTCAAAGCAGAGATGGATGCTCTGGTGACCCAGGCCTGGAAGAGGCCATCACCCTGGGAAAGCTGCACGTGTCCAGCCCCTTGTCCAGCATGTTTAAGTTAATGATGGTTCACAAGGTAAAGCTTGAGAGCAACTTTGCCTCCATTGTGTTTGCCATCATGGTGTTGGAGGGGTTCGGCTGCTCACTGGATCCCAGTCTTAACATCCTGGAGGCAGCAAAGCTCTTCCTTCTTAAAGGATCAGTATCTTCCCTGACAGTGCCAGTGGGCTCAAGAGATGATGGCTACTCCGAAAAGCCTTTCCCGTGGCAGCTAGAATGTTTTAAAATTGGGACTGATTTGGCTTCAGGGTCTGTTTTAAAGCTTTGGATTATCTGGTAGGTCAAGATAGGGATTGATCCTACCTATTTGGTTATGGAAGCTGGGCTAGGTGCCAGGACACTCTATTTTAGGGAAGAAGTTTTGTAGATTAGAATGAATAAATTTGTTAAAAAGTCAACCTCACCCCCCCCCAAAAAAACCAAATACCCCAACTGGCAAAACTGTACGGCTCCAGGGTGAAATCTGCTAGAAAGCGTCCACTCTGAGTGCACACAAGTGAGGGGGGGAGGGGCCGCAGCCCAAAGCTGGGAAACTGCCCCCCTTTTTTTAAAATTTCAGGCTCCTTTATTCCATGAATATTTATAGAACATCAACTATAGGCAAAACATTGACATAATCGCCCTTTTACCCATCCGGTTGGCCATGTTCACTCTGTCCCCTGGCTCGCCTGGAGTTCCTGCCCACAGGAACAGTCAAAGCGTAAGTGCCACAGACCTCCTCCTTTACTTCCGCAGCTGCTCCTGTCAGTCACCAATCATAGTTTCCTTCATTGTCATGTAAAGTGTATACCAGGCTGCCACTTCATTCTGAGCAGCCAGAATCTTCTTAACAAAGAACGGATGATGAATGCAGGCTGGAGGGACTCTGCCTGTCCTGTGTCAAAGCATCAACTCAATGTAGGACATAAAAAAAAAAATAACCCCAGCTCTGTCCCTGGAAGATGGCCTTGCGAGCTCTGCCTCATCCATCTGAGGGGGTCACATGGTGGGGTAAGTTTCTGAGACAGTCAGACTCTGCTGAGACACCCCCACATCTCATGTGACACGCTAAGTCTTAGGGCTAAAAAGTTAACAGATCCTCACTTATGTATGTCACAGATCCAGAAAAGCTTGTTTATTGGTTTTTCTGCATCTCCTGGAGGCTTTAAGGGTGTCAGTTTTAGTTCCCCTGAACTGGGTAGGAATACCCATCAACTCTTGAAATGAAGCCAGATGAAAGCAACATTTGTTTTAAAACCAGTTTGGAGACCAGGTCGAGTCTTCATTTCATCACTTCTTTCCACCAAAGACATCTCTGCCCTGTGACATCCCAGGAAATGAGCCTTGAGCTTTGAGAGCAGGGGTTGCCTAATACTTGGCCCAGCAGATGCCAGCCTTGCCAAGTTCTAGGTGGTCTGGTCTGAGGGATGTCCTCCCCTGTTTGACAGCCACTCTTGTATCCCCTTAGCTTATGAGGCAAGTCATGACACAGTGTCAGCAAAGGTGAGCACGCAGGGATGTTGACAGGAAGCACGTTCCTGGGACTCCTACCGCCAAGACAGGCTGGAGGTCTGAAGAGCACAGGAGGAACACAAATCCCAGAGGCATGTGTGGGATTTGGAGACAACAGACAAGAGTGTCCTCTGTAATCATTTTCCTGGCAACTGGCCCAGATGCTCCCGGTCTTTAGGGAGAAGGTAATGACTGGGCCTTGGCTTCCCCTTTTGTGAAATTAAGTGTTGGATGAGAAGGCTCTTGGCTCCAGCAGGCTCTGAACCTCGGTTTCCCTATACCCTATCTCTCTCCTAAGTGGGGGTGGTGATGGGGGGGCAGTACTCCACACAGGGCCTGCTGGAGGTTCTCCCTCTTCATGACACAGCCATCCCGTGGCTTGAGAAAGGGTGTGACTGTAAGTGTCTACCTGGGAGTATGTCAGAGCAAACCAGGTTGCATGGTATAAAGTATATTCTGAATTGTTTTAAGGAAGTTCATCCTTATATACACTTGTATGTATGTATGTGTAAAAGTCTCATCCCTTACAATGTGAATCTTTTAGAATTTCTGTAAATTTAAACAGGAAAAATATTTAATAAATAAACCAAAACACATAATTTATCCTTAAAATGTTCAGTGGCATGGGGAGGGAATGAAAATATAAACAGAAAAAGCCAGGTGAGGCCTAGGGCTTAAGTCTGATAGGACAAGAGACATCATTCAAATGGTGACACCCACTACTGCTAAGAGCATGCTGCAGCAAGAGCTGTAGGGGGCATCCTGGAGCCCGCGAGGGATGGACGGACTGCAGGAGGCAGCCCGGAGCCCGCGAGAGACGGACGGACTGCAGGACGCAGCCCAGAGCCCGCTAGGGAGGGACAGATGGACTGCAGGATGCAGCCCGGAGCCCGCGAGGGACGGACGGACTGCAGGATGCAGCCCGGAGCCCGCGAGGGATGGATGGACTGCAGGACGCAGCCCAGAGCCCGCGAGGGACGGACGGACTGCAGGACGCAGCCCGGAGCCCGCGAGGGATGGGCAGACATGGCACTGGGGACTGAGCCGAGAGCGGTGCCCACAGGCTGAGGGCCATACCTGTCTGCTGTCATTCTCTCGGCAGCCCTGGAGCTTTATGAGGGCGCCAGGCGCGCGGTCCACCACAGTGAGACACAGGTCTATGTGCTTCACTGCCTTCTCCTTCGTCAGTGCCCACTCCTATAACACAAAACCCCAAAGTCAGAGGCATGCCCTGCATGGGGATGTGAAAGCAGAGAAGGGACATCAACAAGGTCTCCCCAAAAGGACATGTCACAGTGGACAGTGGTCCAGAACCCCTGACCCAACTCAGACCCAGCACAGGACGCGCTGCTGACAGCACTTCTGCAGATGGGGACCCTCAGGGTCGGCCCTAAGTTGGCCAGAAGTACTTTGAGAGCCTCAGTAACTAAGATTAACTATTTTAGCCCCCAAAGCAAGCTAGAACACTGTGTCCATTTTTCTGTAATTCAGTGTGATCTGTGAAAACCTTAACTTAATCTTTGGACAGTCAGGGGCAACTAGTCCACCCACATTCTCTCAGAATGGCTTGGCCCCCATGCAGGCCTGGTTTGGAAATAGTGTTTATGAGTGTAGATTATAATGTGTGAAAACTATATGACACACTTAATTTGCCAATTTAAACAAAATATATAGCGCTTACCTATAACTGAGTGCAGAGTTGATTTATGGATATTCAGGAAGCTCTCTGAACATTGGAGCAATGAGTCTGTGTATTTCTTCACAGACATTCCAGCTAAATTTCACTGGGTGTTATGTACCAAGCACTATTTAAACTGTTTATACAACAGCCCCAGGGGGACTGCTGCTATTGTTCTCATTTTATAGATGAGAAAACTGAGCCAGAGAGTGTTTCAATAACTTAAAAAATATATAAACATACACACAGACACACAAGTTCAGGCTGAAACCAGGTTGAGAGGACAATCATTCTAAAGACTAAGACCATCAGAAAGGACAGCCCCCAGAGCAGGGGATGCATGCAGCCACAGGAGGCAGAGGAGGATAGAACCTGCCCTGGGCCGGGCCACACGGAGACAGGAGGTGAGGCTTTTCACTATTACCCTCCAGCTTGAGCCAATCAGGGAGGAACGCTTGTGTGAGTTCTTAGTATCCAGAAGCAGCCAAGTCTCTACCAACTCAGAGCCCCACAGGGGTGCTCCACCCACAGCTGTTCCCCTTTCTGCTCTAAGCTCAGACAAGCCACTGCACCCTCTGTCCATCTACTGCACACCTGCACGACTCAGCTGCCTCCCAGTGCTGGGCTCACTTTCTAGTGGGGGAAAATGAATGGCACATAAATAAACATGTTCAGTAGCTTCAGGCACCATGAAGTGCTATGAAGACATTGGTTTTTTGTTTTTGTTTTTGTTTTTGTTTTTGGTGACAGAGCCCCACTATGTCATCCTCCATAGAGTACCATGGAGTCACAGGTCACAGCAACCCGAAACTCTTGGGCTTAAGCGGTTCTCTTGCCTCAGCCTTCCAAGTAGCTGGGACTACAGGCACCTACCACAATGCCTGAGTATTTTTTGTTGCAGTTACCATTGTTATTTACCTGGCAGGCTGAGTTCAAACCCTTCAACTTTGGTGTATGTGGCTGGCACTGTAACCCTGTGTTGTGGGTGCTCAGCTGAAGACATTGTTTTGCATTTTTCTGTTCTCAGAGGACAACAGTAAGGAAAGGGATAAATAATCTTTAAAGACCTTCACTCTCCAGTGCTTATCACATTAGAATAAATGGTCTATTATTACAGAAACACTGGAACCTATAGACCCCGGTGTTGTAATCTTGTGCAGTCACAGGTGGGATGCACGGTCTGTGGCTCTTGCAGAGCTCCGGGAGAGGACACAGAGGCACAGACAGCTGGTGTTAGGCTCAGTGAGGACTCCTCGGCCCCTAGTGTGTGTGTGGTGGGACTCGGGCACATCTCCTCACCTCCCTGAGCTGCTTTTTTCTCACCTTTTAATTAGTGTTTGTCAAATTTTACTCCGTAAAGAATTCCATGAAACCTATTCTGGTTCTAGGGCAAATAAATTTGGGAAAAACTGAACTGTTGCCAAGTTTCTCTACTAAAAATTCATAAGCCACCTATTTAATGCCTATGATAAGTCCCAGAATAGAAGCCTGCATGGCCTGTGCACCAGGCACCAGGGACCCGACCCTGCACAAGCCCTTCCCTCACGGGCCCTGCAAGTCCAGGCCCCACACTCCATGCTGCTGTCCCTGCACACAGCTGGTTAATTACATAGGCTCTCCAAAGGCACCACTGCCACTCAGTGTCACCCAGACTTTAGGATAATGTGACATAATAAACTACATATTGTTCTCTGCCCTGGTTTCAGGCATGATTACAAGGCTCGTAAAACAGCTGTTATTTCTTGAGCCACAGGGTAGGAGCATCTTTTGCTCTAGTGTTGGATCTCAGCCCCAAGGACAGAGTGCTGCTAGCCCCTTGGTATTTCCTGAGTAACAGGACAACCCTTTATTCTACTAAAGTGACTCTTGGTGGGCTCATGGATTGGGGCTGGTCACCAGAAGGGCCAAGCCACAATTAGAAGCTTGGAAACTGTCAGTCCCCTCCGCAGGTTGTCCTTTGGGAAGGGGAGAAAGGGTGGAGCTTGAGTTTATGATTGATCAACACTGCGTGATAAAACCTCCATAGAATCGCTGAAGCTGGAATGTGAAAAGCGGAGAAGTCACGTGGAGTGTGTGGGGGCCCCCCTGAGCGTGGCAGTCCCTCCACACCCCTCCACACAGACTCTGCAATAAGTCACTGAACACGTGGAGTGTGGGGGGCCCCACCTGAGTGTGGTAGTCCCTCCACACCCCTCCACACAGAGTCTGCAATATGTGTCTCTTCCACCCAGTGCTCCTCAGGTCATCCTTTTCAGGTAACCTGTTAAGTAAACTGTTCTCCAGAGTTCCATCAGCTGAGCTTACAAATGGCTGAATCCACCAGAGGGCAGTGGGAACCCAGATTTAAATTTGGTTGGTCAGAAACACAGGTGACAACCTGGACCTAGGATTGGGGTCTGAAATGGGGGTATCGTGTGAGACTGAGCACTCAGCCTGTTGGGATCTGGGCTAACTCTGGGCAGACAGTGTTAGGGCTGAATTGGATCTTGGGGGGACACCCAGGTAGTGCCTGCAGAGAACTGAAGAGCTGCTTGGTGTGGCGGGGAAAACCACACATCTGGTGTCAAAGTGCAAAGTTCTGTCCGGGTATAAAATAGGAAAAAGTTTGTTTTCTCTTGTTCATTTGGTCAGAGAAGTACTGGAAGGAGACAGAGGAAGCCATATATATGTGGCATCAGGATGAAGAAGTTTAGGAAAAGCTATGTCCTCACCGCTTTGATCCCATTTACACTGCCAGTGCCAATGACCCTAGGACACACACAGACGCCCACTGAAGAGGGCAGTGTGGCTGGGCACAGTGGTTTGATTCACACACCTGTAATCCCAGCACTTCAGGAGGCTGAGGTGGGAAGAATGGTTGAGACTAGGAGTTTGAGACCAGACTGGGCAATATAGCAAGACCCCATCTCTATCAAAAAAAAAAGGTGGAAGAAGAAAACCAGTGGCACATATCTATAGTCCCAGCTATTAGGGAGGCTGAGGCAGGATCACTGGAACCCAGGAGTCCAAGGCTGCAGTGAGCAACCTGATGTAGGTTCCTGAGACCAGGTTCCCTCCCAGAAAGCCTGGCTTAATTCGGGTTGGAGAGCACCAGGTCTCTAAAGCATTCCCAAATGATCCCAAATGAGCCCTCCAGCCTAGGTGACAGAGTGAGACCCATCTCTAAGAAAAAAGACAGCAGCCCCAGATGGGACACTGTTGCTGTGAGAAGGTTCTAGACAGCCCTTGGCAGCAGGTGGTGGGAGGTGGTGGGAGTTTCTTTGACGCCTGGTTGCAAACCACATCTGATGCTTCCACAACCTTCTTGCTACTGTGTACCTTATTATTTTAGAGCAGACTTTACACAGAACTCCAGAAAAACTAATTCAGTTATGTGAACAGAGCTGGCTACTGCTTTGTTCTTCTGTTGCATTTCAATCATCTGAATTGGTGAAGTAAAGTTCATAAATATTTAAGAATGCTTTTCTGAGCTGCCACTCTTAAAAAGAAAGGCCATTCATTTCCCCATTTCCTATGTGTCTGCTGAGGCTCAGCTGGAAACCAGCCAACAAATCTCACTGTTCCAAAGCACCATGCCCTATTTTCAGGTAGGAAATATTATTTTCCCTCTCACTTCTCATCCATGTGGCACACTACCCAAAAAGCATCACTCTCTATCGGTCCAGAGAGGACTTACTCATGGTGAGCTCACGACTGGGATGCCAGACCATGGCAGACATGCTCCTCGGTCCCTGTCACCCCCAGGACTGTGTGCTCTGCTATGCTGGCTCCTGGCCACACACAGCTATTTAAATTTCAATTCATTAAAATTAAGTGAAATAAAAAATTAAGTTCATACTAGCTGTATCTCAAGTGCTCAGTAACCACATGTGCGGTGCCCATCTAGAACATTCCACCATAGCCAGGGTTCCACGGGACAGAAAGCTTGCTGGCCTCAGGCTGGTCTCTGGAGCAGTGTTCCCAGGTACGGGGTGCAGGACCCGTGTCACTGTGTCACCATGCTGCCTCTCCCACTAGAACCCCCCCCCCAGACCCTCATGTGGATCAAAATGGATCGCTTAGGAGCACTTCAGAGGCCTGTGCCCTCTGACCAGAGTTAGGCCAGGCTCTTTGGGCAGAGGACTTGGCCTCAGTGTCCTGTAGGGGGCGACTCCAGAGTAGGGTTCTCAGAGGTGGAATGAGTGTGGGCAAAGGGTGACTGCATGGGGGGCGGGGGTGTCAGCACTATTCACTGGAAAGGATGAAAAAGCCTCAAATAACAGTAGGGAGGGCCACACCAGCACAAGAGGGAAAAGCAATTGATCCTGTCTGTTTCCCAAGACAGCCCTGAGCTGCCACTACCTTGAGTTCTAAGCTGAGTTCTGCCACTAAGCTGAGTTCTACCTTGGAGCTGATGTCAAACCAAGGTCAGGGCTGCGGCTGCTCCTCACATAGCCCCCCTGCTTAGCACCCCACACTGGGCAGGACCTGGGAGCCAAGGCCGCAGCCGTGTGTCAGGAAAGCAGGACACAGGCTGCCTCCTAGGGAGGCTGAGGGGCAAAGTCTCCACCTCCCACTGACAAAGCCACCGTGCCAGGACCCAGCCTTTCTATCTTGTGTTACTGGTTAACACAGTAAATTGAGGTGAGACAGTGAGTGGGGCTGAGTAGATCATAGAGCCCAAAGAAGATGAGCTGGTGTGAGGCTGACCGGATGCACCACTGTCTGCACTCCACAGCAGCAGACACAGCACTTCCCAGCAGAGATGCTGGAGCCCCGGGACGCAGCCCTCCCCTGTATAGAGCCGTCAGAACACTCTCACCATGGCAGAGGACACCCCAGCAATGAAACACAGAGGTGAGTCATGCAGAGGGGGTGGTGAGAGAAGCCTGAAGCCCCAACAGCACAGAATCTGTCACCACCCTCCACCCTGTGATCCTTACGCTAAAGACAGCAGATTTCACTCGCCCTGCACGAATTATCCTAACTTCTACATTCGGTGTGATCCCCACTGAAGCCGCACTGCCAAGCCCCGAAGAATCTCCTTTCTTAGACTGAACCCAATCTTCATGAGAAGCAGATCTCATTTCCCTCTTCCTCACCAACCTTCACTTTTCTAAGGCACTTCAGTGGATTCTCCTCATGGTGACAGGTGGAAAGATATGAGAAATGCTCCCCATGCTCACTGCCTTTCCCACCTCAGCACTGAAGGTCCAGGCATGGCATGAGACACTTGTGAGGAGTGTGGCCAGAGTGAGCTGGCTTCCGCTACTCATACCTGCACCCGAGTAAGAGTGGTAATCCCTGCCAGGCCTGCATCACCAATTACATGAGATGAGGGTGTCACCCAGGTCTCCTGGGTTCTTTTCTTTTCTTTCTTTTTTTTTTTTGAGATAGAGTCTCACTATGTCGCCCTTGGTAGAGTGCCATGGTGTCACAGCTCACAGCAACCTCAAACTCTTGGGCTCAAGTGATTCTTTTGCTTCAGCCTCCCAAGTAGCTTCCCTATAGACGCCTGCCACAATGCCCGGCTATTTTCCTGGCTATTTTTTGTTGCAGTTGTCATTGTTGTTTAGTTGGCCCAGGCTGGATTCAAACCTGCCAGTCTTGGTGAATGTGGCTGTGCCGTAACCACTGTGCTACACAGGTGATGAGCCAGGCCTTCTGGTTTCCAAGCAGTAAGTGAGAACCACATTTCGCAGCAGGGCATGGGACTAAGGAGCTGTCAGGGATGCAGAGGCACTTGTCGTGGGTACAGCATCTCTCCCTGCTGCCTCTGCCCACCCAACAAATACTAACAGCTCCTTGTCCCTTTTGGCCATGTCTTCCTTCACTCTGCCCATGCCGCCTCCACCCCACTACTTCTTCCCTCTTTATGGATTCTGACTTCTAAGCCATGTCTGACACTCATGGGGTCTGGAACAAGAACACAGAGAGAAGCCACCTGCCACCTGGATAAATACTTCAAACCAGTAAGCTGGCTGGCGTGTGTGCTCCCCATAGCCGTGGACTGTTCCCTGGGGAGCATTCTCAAGACCCACAGGCTAAAACAGAGGGGAGACGGGGAGTGACACAAACATGCTAGGGCCGGGGGACGCTGCGCCAGGCCCGGACACCTGCCCCACACTGACTGGCACTGGGTCAGCCTCGTCCTGAGGCAGGCAGCTGCCCCTCTCATGTCTAATTTAGGATGTCCACGCCATTTGGGCAACCACGGCGAGCACATCAGCAAGAAAGGAGCCAAAGGACCTGGGGATTGTGGTCAGTCTGGATACTCACTGGGAGGAAATGGACCAGCCACTTTACCTAAAAGCACATACTGCTTTCAAAAGTATGTCTAGTTAAAGGATCAATAAATTTAAGGTCCATATGCTTAAATGGCCTGTTTTTGTTCTTAAATGCAGGCCCCTCTTGGTGCCAGGCAAACTTTCCAGAAGGGGGAAAAGAGTTCACGGAGTGCCCAGGCGTCTCCATGCAGAAAGGTCACGCTCTGCCCACTCCCCACTGTCATCTCCTGGTCAAACTGCTCTGGAGCTCACAGGTCACACTAGCCCCATCAGCCTTCACTGCCTCCTTTCCTGTGATGGGAGATGGTAGGTTTTCATGGCTCAGGAAAAGGTAGAAACACATTGAAGCAATTAAGAATTCCTATTTTCTATCTTAAGCTATAATTACCTAACAGGGGACACCAATAACCAGCAGCTGCCCAAGTACCTGGTGAAGCGTCTACTGCTGGGAACATCAGGCAGGTGTCACGTCATAGTCAGGGGCCAGATGAAGGTGCAAATGTGGAATGAGTGCCTCAGGGTGGGGGGACAGGCGTGCACATAGTGGGGGGACAGAGCTGACAAGAAGACTAAGGCCACGAGCCCTGCAACCATCAACTCGACCAGTAGGCTCTTTTCAGCTGAGCTTGGCTGGAAGCTGGGAGAGGCTCCACAGTCAGTCTAGCTCTGTGATGTCCCCTCTGCCGAGAGGTTTCTTCACAGGGAGCTCCCACCACAGAAGGAAGGCGGCAAGTGGGTGTCTAACCTCCACCCTCGTCCCACACCCCTGCACATACCTGGTTTCCCCCAGCATTGTGACATTCATAAACTCCAACAACACCATCAGTGAAATGTCCCAAAGTGTCGAGGCAGTTGGTTCCCTGCTGCAAGGCCCCAAAAGCTATATCCTGATGGTCTGGAACCCTGAAAAGCAACATCAGAATCACCTGCTTGGTGCCACATGGGCACCAGACACCGTCTACCTACCCCGGTGCTCAGTGACTTTGGCACAGGCTGCAGGAGCAAAAGAAAGGCCTGGTTACTAGGCGTTGTTGTGCCCCTCTGTACCATGGCATTCCTCCTAGTCTCTGGATTTCTACCTAACATTTGAAATCTTAAACTGGTGCGTCTGCATCACAAACGGACAATTTTCTCTGGGAAAAAAAAAAGTTTCTGACACCCTTCAGTGTTAGTCTTACTGGGAGTCACTTAGAAAATCAGTCAACATGGTCAGATCCTATTGCGTCAGACTTTCCTATATACTCAAACTTGACTGTCAGCCAATAAAGGGGAAAAATGAGTAGATGTGGCAGAGGCCTTGAGACAAACAATGCAATAAGACTCATGCTTCAGAATCAGCCCTAACCCGCAGCCCCACCTCTGCTAGGTGCTGGCTGTGTGATCTTTTCAGGCAAGACTCACTTTCTCTGAACCTCAATTTGCTCTTTCGTGCAATGCCTACTAAAAGCAGGTCTGGTACAAACACTGCATAAAACATTTCAGGTAAAGCACTCGGTTCAGTTGCTTCTTGGCTCTTTGGCTAGGGTCAAGTACAGCATTTAGCTTAGTGCCTGGCCCATACCAAGTACTAAGGAAATGGAAGAGATTAAAGACACAATAAAAATATGAAGCTAGTGCCTGCCCTGCCCTGCACAGACAAGCAGGTTCACCAGCCAGTACAGTGCCAGATGCCTTGGATGTGGCTTGTATGGGTGCAGGGCCCAGCATCACCCCAACTCCTGGGCAAGCTCAGGGAGAAACTGTACGTCTGATGTCTCTCTGTCTGGCACTCTGACCCACCAAGTCACAGGGAAAAGCAAAGCGAGGACCTGCAGGGGCTAAAATCCACAATGGAGAAGCCCCTCTTGGCAGGGGGAGAGATGATAGCCAGGGTTTCCCGCCCTGTAACCCCCACTGAAAGTTGTCCCACAGAGGGAATCAGAGGCGGGAGGAGACTGCATTCTCCCCTCCCTCTTCCCCAGGGGCACAGGCCTCCTGGTGTCTCACATATTTTTTTTAAAAGCAGAGTTCCCAAGAGTTAATCAGTGAACAGCAGGGAGGCAGTGAGCCCCATTCCCCAGCTCTCTGACAGATCTCCAGGACAGGGGCTCTGGGAGGTGTCAGCAGAAAGACAATGGTGGCCACTCCTGCATTCACAGCCATTGTGCTGGGGACATGTGAGTCACTGTGCAAAATGCTCTGGGAATATTTAGAACTAGAAATGTGCCATGTTAAGGGACCTGCCTGATAGTCCCTTTAAGAAGATGAAGTTCTGATGGTTCTGGAAACCCAGCAGCTCCACAGGTCCTCAGAGGAGGTTACAGCAGGTTCCTCGGGACAGAGAGCTCACATCAGCTCGGAGTGAGAGGCCAGGTATAGAAATAAGGATCAGGAGAGGATTTCTGCCATCACTCATCCTCTCAAAGGGAAGCAGGGCTTTGGCATTATTCTCATTTCACATGGGATTAAAACAGCCCAGAAGGGGGAAAGCCGTGGTCAGGTCCCCATCCTCCTAGCCTCCACTGGGAGCTATTAAGTGCCTACCCATGGGAGGGACAGCAATGCCCTGTAAGTTGAAGCCAATGGGAATTGACAAGGCTGATAAACTCCCTTGTCTCTGCCCTAACTAGCCCCCACCCCCTTCTGCCTCCCAGCACTGACCCATGAGCACAGGAAGAGTGATAAGGTTGAGCATGCCAGGGCAGAGGTGCCCAGGTGGCAGGGACCTAGGGAGGCAGCACAGGGCACTTACTCTTGGAGACTGGGGTCTGTTCTTCCAGCCACGCCATCCCACCAGTGAAGGGTGTAAGGAAGAGCAGGCTAACACGAGGTGATGCCTTGAATTGCCTCCAAGGCCATGAAAAATGGGAGGATGACTTGGCAGGAAAAGGTACTTGGGGAGCACCTTCTTGGGGCACTTGGGGGCCACAGTGGAGGAGGGCACGCGCTCTTACTGTGAGACCTGGCTCCTGGCTTCACAACCCCCTGCAGTTCATCTGCCACATCCCCTCTTGAGGCCTCTACTGCCTCCCTGACCTCATTTGCTTCTCAGCCTTTATGCGGAGAAGCCTCGGTCCCTGGTGACTTACCTTAATTCTGGATAGACATTTTCAAGGTACCATTTGAAAGGCTTGCAGCTAAGTTTCTTCCTAAGCTCCAGTCTGCTCTGAATACTGGAGAAGACAGAAATAAGATTCTTTTGTACATTTTAAGATCAGAGAGGTTCTCTACATCAAACAAAAAATTTGTCAGTAAGAACAGGGTTGGAAAACAGCATGGACTGTCCGCATGCCTGGGCCCATGAGCCCAGGAGGTCATGTCAACATGGGCAACTGTCTTAAGCCCCATCCCGCACTCCTCACCAAAGGATCCCGGTGAGCACGAGAAGGCAGGGCTGACACTTACTTTCCATAGGGGACGTTTCTGGCAGAAGGCACTGCTGCGTAATAGAAATTTTTATATTCGTCCATCCAGACCTCTGCTGCCCGGCGGGTGTTGCTAGAAACAAAATGAACCTTGAGGTGTAATTTGCCTTCTGTCAGCATCACCCTGTCTGCACGTGTCTGCTGGTAGAGTGAATGAGGGCAGTCCCTGTGAGGGGGCGTGTGGTGCAGGGCAGGGAGCAGGCTGCTCCCCTCAGCATCCTGGGGGCATCCTGCACTGCGGGTGCTCAGTGGATTCTCACTGACCAACAGAATTGTCATCTGTCCATTCACCACACACGGATGGACAAAGGGGCAAGAGTCAAAGTTAAAACCGCAGCACAAGCAGGCACTTTAAAGAAAGGACTAGGGCTATTTCACAAAGCAGGTCAAAATTACATATCCAGAGGGCTGTGGAGAGCACAGCAAGGACACACTGGATCCCTACAGCCTGTCACATCCTGGCTGTAACAGTAGCAGACAGCGGTGGGGAGAAGTTCAGTGAGGCACGAGTAACTGCTGGAACTGCTTTCTTTTCTGCAGACCGGAGCCAACAGAGAATCATGTTTGAACAGGAATAGAACGTGAAGGGGTGGCAGTTCCATGCCCAGTCTGGACCCCTAGTGTGCTGTGCTTCAGCACACAGAATGGGCTTTGCTGGAAGAGCAGAAAAGCTCCTTCCTGTATCTCACAGTGATGGGGAGAAAGCCACGATTCCCAGCAAAGCCTCCGGGACAAGCCGCTCTAGGATGTATGGCCTACACTAAAGGCTACTGCGTGCACAGGCATCAGCAGTGTGTCCTGCCAATAGTTCCTGCTCCAGTGGCCAGGAAGCAGTGTCAGTGCAGTGGACCTCCTGCCTCCCCGCTCCTGGCCATGGCACAGGCAGTCTGACACTCAGGCACAGCTGGCCTTTATGAGCCCGGAGTGCAGGCACCCTGTTCTTTCAAAGTAAACATGGCAGGGGGGCAAGGCTCGCTTTTAAAAGTCAGTCTTTCTCTCCACCATAAAGGTCCCTTTGAAATGGCAAGTTTTTCAAATTATTAAAATAATTCCTGTTTGGGGCCTGTATCCATCACATAAAATTATATACATACCTTTTGTTTCAATGAAGTAAATTATGTTGCATTATGTATAATGCCACTCAAGAGACAGACAAGACAAAATGAAGATGCCCTGCCTGACCAACTGCCTCTACTTTTAGAAATTTACCAAGGAAATAATTAACTAGGAATTAAAAAATGTGAAAATATGCTTACTCCAATGTTGTTTATAATAACAAAAAAAAAAAAGAAATTATATGACAAAATATAGGGAAGTGATCAAATAAATGGAATATTCCATGACCACCAAAACACAGGTGTCCATCCTCTGTGTTGACAGGAATAAGGTCCGGGACTTCAGTGACAATAAAAGAGATCACACAACAGCACAACAGATGCCTCTTACAGAGGCAGGAGAGCAAGTGAGCAAGCAAAAGAGAGAGAGATACCGTGCTTCCCCCCAAATAAGATCTCCCAAAAAATAAGCCCTAGCAGGATTATAAGCCCTACCCCAATAATAAGACCTAGTGATGGGCGTGGCTATCTGCACAGATACGCTGCATAGCCACATCATGCACTTCAGTCATGGAGTGATAAGGAAGACTGGAATATCTTTTACCTGCCACAGCTCCTTTCTTAGAGCCATTCACACTTGCGCAGGTGCACGTGTGGTAACCGTGGTCACAGGCATCCTATTGTGCACGTGTGAACGGCTAGGGGAAGGAGTTCACGCATCACTAGCACCAGCCCCACCAACAAGGTTGGCTCCCTCTGTCAGGTTCCAGAAGAAGATGACTTAACTGTATTTGAACTGTATTTGAATTGTAGATTGTTGTATTATACTTAATAAAAATAAGACATCCCCTGAAAAAAAGCCCTAGTGTGTCTTCTTGAGAAAAAATAATATAAGACAGTGTCTTATATTCAGGGCAACATGGTAGATATTGATGGGGAGACTGATTCACCAACAGCAGAGTGCTGAGACACAGTCTGGTCTGGTGATGAGATTGAAGACTTTTTACATTCTCTCTGTAAACTAAAGATATATATGTATATATATGTACACACACATAAAGAGAGATAGGAGTAAAGTACTGGGGGTTACTGGATCATAAGTGTTATTTCTCAGGAGAGCCACTAAATATCCTAGTGGAATTTTGGGGTCTTGCTGAGGACTATGCCTTAACTACCTAGAGGTGTGACTTCAGCCCTTTGGCAACTGGAATTACCCATGAGGACAATGAAAGATTCTGATTCAAGGATGTCCCAGGTTCCTTTCAACCCTAATGGCCTTTATGATTCCAAGCACATGTGTTTTAAAATCACTTAAACCCTTAGGTGTTTAAGTACTTTCATAATTCCTAAATGCAAAGCAATCCTTTTTTGTCTTATGAACAAAAAATCTATAACGACTATAGTGTGCTAGTCAGCACTAGCTCCTTTCATTCACATATTGGCTGGTTCATGTGGATATTTATTTGGTACCACCTGTACCAGCAGTCATCCAGGTGCTAAGATACAGTGGTGCCTTTACTGAGGCCTCCCTTGCTTTTCCAAGTATTTAGATGGTACTTATACACTTAATGTCGCATTTTACTGGTTCAGAATCCCTAATGCAAAAATATGGAATGCTCTGAAATCCAAAATATGTATTTTTTATTAAATCATAGCTGTGTACATTAATGCAGTCATGGGGTACAGTGTGCTTGTTCCATATACAATCTGAAATATTTTCATCAAACTGGTCAACATAGCCTTCATGTCATTTTCTTAATTATTGTGTTAACACATTTATATTCTACATTTAGAAAGATTCACACGTACCATTGTAAGATGAATCATAGGCGTGGTCCCACCAATCATCCTCCCTCCATCCATCCTCCGCCCTCCCCTCCTCTCCCTCTCCCCTTTCCCCATATTCTTGGGCTATAATTGGAAAGCTATAAATTAGTTTCATAGTAGGACTGAGTACATTGGCTACTTTTTCTTCCATTCTTGAGATACTTTGCTAAGAAGAATATTTTCCAGCTCTATTCATGTAAATATGGAGGAGGTAAAGTCTCCATCTTTCTTTAAGGTTGTATAATATTCCATGATGTACATATACCATAATTTATTGATCCTTCATGGGTCGATGGGCACTTGGGCTTCTTCCATGACCCAGCAATTATGAATTGGGCTGCAATAAACATTCTCATACAAATCTTTGTTGTAGTGTGATTTTTGGTTTTCTGGATATATACCTAGTAGAGGAATTGCAGGGTCAAATGGCAGGTCTATGTTTAGTTCTCTAAGTGTTCTCCAAACATCTTTCCAAAAGGAATGTATTAATTTGCATTCCCACCAGCAGTGTAGGAGTGTTCCCTTTTCTCCACATCCATGCCAGCATCTCTGGTTTTGGGATTTTGTGATATGGGTTAATCTTACTGGAGTTAAATGATATCTTAAAGTAGTTTTGATTTGCATTTCTCTGATGATTAAGGATGATGAGCATTTTTTCATATGTCTGTAGGCCATGCACCTGCCTTCTTCAGAGAAGTTTCTCTTCAAGTCCCTTACTGACTCTGAAATGGGATCACTTGTTCTTTTCTTGCTAATAGGTTTGAGTTCTTTGTGGATTCTGGTTATTAAACCTTTGTCAGGAACATAATCTCTGAATATCTTCCCCCATTCTGAGGGCTGTCTGCTTGCTTTACTTACTGTGTTCTTGGCTGTGCAGAAGCTTTTTAGTTTGATCAGGTCCCAGTAGTGTATTTTTGATGTTGCTTCAATTGCCCAGGATGTCCTCCTCATAAAATTTTCTCCCAGGCCAATTACTTCAAGTGTTTTCCCTACACTTTCTTCTAGGAATTTTTTTTTTTTTTTTTTGAGACAGAGCCTCAAGCTGTCGCCCTGGGTAGAGTTCTGTGGCATCACAGCTCACAGCAAACTCCAACTCCCAGGTTCAAACGACTCTCCTGCCCCTGCCTCCCAAGTAGCTGGGACTACAGGCGTCCGCCACAATGGCTGGCTGTTTTTTGGTTGCAGCTGTCATTGCTGTTTGGTGGGCCAGGGCTGGATTTGAACCCGCCAGCTCAAGTGTATGTGGCTGGCGCCTTAGCCGCTTGAGCCATAGGTGCCAAGCCTCTTTTAGTATTTTTATAGTTTCATGTCTTAAGTTTAAATCTTTAATCCAG